TCTCTCACTTTCTCCTCCCACACCCCCAAGGACAATATTCCATTACAATCTACTTCTGACAATCCTCCCCCTCCCCCCTCCCCTCCCTCCTCCTCATCCTCCACCCTCTCCACGACACCTTCATCTCACAATAACCGTTCTGCCCCTCTCTCACTCTCTCTCTCTCTCTCTCCTCTCTCTCTCTCTCTCTCTCTCTCTCTCTCTCTCTCTCTCTCTCTCTCTCTCTCTCTTACTCTCTCTTTCAGATGGTGTTTGTGGTACAATGGTTAAGATATTCACAGCGGCAGATCTAATGCGTAACCTCGATTCCTGTGCAAGGAAGTCTTGTCTAGGCAGACATGCGTGGGGCAGTGCGAGTTCTTCAATCAGACCAGATTTTAAAATGCCCCACTGCGGGACTTGAATGTTTACCGCTTACATCGAATCCCAGTAGACAATAGAGCAAAAGGGCTCCTTCGAACAGATTAAAGGGACAATAATGTGAGAGAATAACCCATAAATGCTATATAATTATTGTTGTTGTTGCTGTCGTCTTCTTTTGTTGCAGTTGTTGTTGCTGTTGATGTTGTTGTAGTTGTTGTTGTTTGTGTGTGTGTGTGTGTGTGTGTGTGTGTGTGTGTGTGTGTGTGTGTGTATGTGTGTGTATGTGTGTGCGTATGTGTAAGCCTATCCGTTTGAAATATTTGGAGCCCCGAAGAGCGTGCTCTTCGCCAGGGCCACCGCCTCTCTTGTGTAGCTGGTGAGGCAGTCCAACCTCACTGAATCCTCCCCATAGAGAAGCCACCGCCGGACCTCCGTGGCGGGGCATCTCTGCAGCCAGTGCTCTAAATCTTGGGGCTCCTCTCTGCACAAAGGACTGGATCTGATGTTTTGTCGATTCTATTTTTGTAGGCCCGCAGCCCAGAGAAGTGACCGGTCCTGATTTTTTGCCAGTAGTGACTGGTCTCTGTGGAACTTAATTTTAACCTCTCGTTTTAAAGAAATTGCCCTGCATAATATTTCCTGCGTCCGCGTGTGGAATATCGGAAATTGTTTTCGCTAATGTTGTTGTTTATGCTGTTGTTGTTGTTGTTGTTGTTGTTGTTGTTGTTGTTGTTGTTGTTGTTGTTGTTGCTGCTCTTGTTTTTATTTTGTTTTATGATATTAATTTTAAAGTCCTGAAAAAGGCAACAGAAAGACGGACAGAGAGAAAGGGAAATTGTTTGATGAATTTAATACAATAAAGATGATTATTGTTTCGTTCGTAGAAGGGGGTTGTGCTAGCAATAATAGTAATCATAGATCTTTTGTAATACTAATAAAGCTAGGTCTCAACCGATCAAGCTCACAAAGTTTAGAAAGCATGCTTGTCAAAGCCCAACTGAGATGGGTCGGCTATGTCATTCGCATGAATGACCAGATAATGCCCAAACAACTGCTGTACGGCGAACTCACAAGTAACAAAAGAAGTCCCGGGAGGCCAGAAAAGCGTTTCAAAGACACGTTAAAGACAAACCTCCAGTTTGCACAGGTTTCTCCAAAAAGAACTCGAAAGAACTGCCACCGAAATGCACGCTTAGCGCAGAGCCGTCCTTCTTGATAGTAGAAACTGGGATATCAACTACAGGGAGAAGCTGACTATCAGAAGAGAGAGGAGACATAATCCAACTACCCCAACAACGACAATCCAGTGTCCCCACTGAAACAGACGTTGTACATCCAAGATCGGATTGCACAGCAATATGCGTGTCCACAGATGAGCTGCAGGATTTCATCGTCATCTTCGCAACGAAGGACAACCTACAATAAGGCCAACCCCAATGTTACAACCTAAAGCCTCGGACACTGAATGAGATCTTGTAACACTAAAAAGTAGATCTATATGTAGTTCAAACCATTTGTAATCATGTAGTTTACAAAAATAAACACAATATATTTGTGGGTGGTTGGTGGGTGATCTGGTCTGCGCCTTCTTTCCTACTAAACACATATTATCATCATTCTCATGTCGCCTCCTTCTTTTTCGTGTTTGATACTCTTTTGTGTCACCTCCAATCTTCATCACTGATATGACCTAACTGTGTTGCGAGTGCCGCAAAACTCTTACCGGTACTAAAACTAAAACGCATTATTTTTGTTATTTTGCACCTTTATCGCCCATCTTAAAAAGTAGAAATATGAAACATTGCTGAAGAACACTGCTGATGGTCGGCCTGAAGAAAAAGTAGTTGTATGGCAGTGTGGTGAAATCAGGCGCTCTCCGAAAGACAATTTGTTTTAGTAAGGTTTTACGGCGCACGCAACTGCATAAGGTCATATGTGAGGCAGCGTGGTGGAATCAGGCTCTCGTCAATTTTTGGGCATGTAGAGTTACTGGTATTCCAGGTACTATCTTAAAGCTTGTTCACTTGTCTTTATTTGGATGAAAAAATATCCATTTGTCTTGAATACAAGTCGAGATATTTGTGAATGAAGGAGGTGGGGGTCACCTGTTTTCAGAGGTAAAATTAATGAAAAAATGGCCATCAAAGATTAGTTATTTCCTTAGCTTAAGAGTCCGTGGTAACTGATTTTTTTTTTTACTTTTTGAGCCTTTAATCAACGTTTTTCAGAATAATCCACACAACAATGAGTTCTTTAATGGGTCTGAAAGGTGTTGAGCCAAAAAACAAAGATTTAATAAAAATTCACAAACCTGTGGAAAAATGCAAGTTTCTTCACTTTGATTATTTTGACGAGAGCCTGATTCCACCACGCTGCCTCACATATTATTATGAGCGCCAGGGGGTAAATGTCAACAGAGAAGTCCAAACGGGGAATTAGGCTTACTCTACTCAACTCTTACTTTAACCTCAACAGCACAAAGTCTGCTTCGACTATCAAGGCACTCCGGAAATAGCAGTTCACAAGAGAGTGACAAACATACAAAAGAAGTAGAGGGGAAAATGACGATAGTAAGGATGAGGAAAGAAAAAATAGCAGTT